GGACGTGGGGAGCTGGTGGCATTGCAGGCACATGGACTGGAGAGGAGCAGAGGAAAAGGTACTGCAGTGGCGAGGAGCTGCCGTCCTGTACAGATCGATTGAAGCCTCTAATGGCCTGTGCACTAACTGAAGGCTGAGCTGCTTCATCTAGACTGTCTATTCCAGATTATTCCTGTTTCCCCAGCTTGTAAATAAGATTGTAAGTAATGGTTCAAGCTATGAAGTACTGCACCTTTAAGCATAAAGAGGTAGGTTTTACTACTCACAGGGTCGTAGCTAAGAGTGTCTGATGCAGTGAGTCTGCCTTACACCTAAACCGCTCGCTTGCTGGTGGTGGGGTTAGAATCATGTCAGTATTGCCAAGATGGAGACACTTTGCTTTTAGCTGCACAAAGTATTGGCAAGTGTGGTAGCGTTCCTCATAGAATCGGACACAAAGCTCCCCTGGGCTGCTGCCCACAGTCTTGTTGGGAGTGTCTTAGGCACACAAACAAGTATGTAGGAACGCTATCCCTTGTCAAGACTTTTCTGCATCATGTCACGGGCTTGGCTGTGCGGTCGGTGGCGGTGTGGAGCGTGTGGAAGGCGGTCGGTCTGTCCCAGGGAGAAGAGCTGGTGTCGTACCCAGGGGATACAGCGCGTCCGTGCCTCACCCAGCAGAGGGCTCCCCTGATAAGCGAATAAAAAACAGGTTTTATACCCGGCATACTGGGAGGAAAACACTTTGGTGGTCGCCATACCTAGGAATCCTGGATTCTTGCATTAGGTTTTGACCATAGTCTTTGCCTAGTATTTCTCAATACCTAATTGAAAGCATTTGGTAAACTGAAACAACGTGCACGATGTTATTAGAATTTTTTACAGATTGATGTGTGTGTGTATTTGTGTTAAGTATGTGTAACACACACAGTCAAACTGTCAGAACTAATCAGCTCTTTTCCTGCTTCATACATAATTTTTTAGAAAAAAAATGCTTTCTAGCAAGAAGAACATTGTGAGTATGACTGCAAAAAATAGTAGGCTGCTGACTTTCTGCAAATGTAAATCTATAGATACAATGGGTGCTACTGAAGATTTTTAAATTTAAATTTAAATGGAAGTTAAGATAGGACAATTGTGTGAAAATGCAGGTGTGTGCATGCCAATATCTTTTTGTGACAAGACATTTGATTACCTTCTGCAGAATGATTAGGACCTCATTTTTGCACAAGGCACTGGAATTTAAAAAAAAAATACTTAGGAACAAAGAATTATCTTTTATCTGTGCTTTTTAGAATGATAAACAATTCAGTGAAGTAGATTTGGCTTGTCTTTTCTCCTTTAATGGTTCAGAAACACAGGTTACCTTCTCCATATGGAGTCGGCTGTACTTTATGACTGTGCTGCTTTAAATTATATGTAGAACTGACAATTGTTCAAGTAGGCAAAGGCTAAAACTAGAAAAGTAAAGGATTGTTATAGGTGAAGCTAATCAATCAACTGTATATCATCAAAAATGTACTGCAGATATTTGGGATTTCATTATGAGGTACCAGGTGGGTTTGGTGTTTTGTAGCATAGGAAGATTTTGGTAGGTGGGGTATTCAGGACATGAAAACTTTTCAGTGCCATTTGACTGCCATAAGGAGCACAAGCTGGTCTCAAGGAATGAAGCTACTAGATGTTCTCACTGTTTCCAGCAAGTGGGAGGAAAATATTAGTCCCCTTCTCTTCTTTCTCTAAATGAAATCTTGTGGTCTGCTTCTCCTTTCACCTTGAACTTATTTCCTTGTAAAAGTATATCTGACAAAGAAGTTAATCTCTGTAGGCAAAGGGGAGCAGGCTCTTCAGTTGCTTCTTTGCTCCTTTAGCCAGTCTGACCTCCGTCAAACACTAAGGAAAGGAAAATAATTTGCCCTAAACTGCTCTCTTTCTGTACAGTCCCTTTTCCTGCCTGCCTGCCCAGGGAATGAACAGTCCTGACATACTGGAAAACACCATGGATATGAACAGCTGTTTTTTCTACTATTTTCAGTTTATAGGAAATTGATAAAATGCCTCACAGTGTCATGCTAAGGGTCTTCAAGCAGCATCTGTATTTGTAATCCAGTGTGAGTGTGTGAGAGGTGCTGCTGTGCTTGCAAGCAGGCTTATTTGCTTGCACAGGGCTGCTCTGAGAGATGCAGCTCTTTTCAACAAAGATTCTGATTCTGGTTTTTTTCAGAAGTAAGTTAGTTAGCCACTTCCTGTATTTGTCTGTTCATGTTTTCCTGACTTTAATACTGTGCTCAGCAGCTAGTGACAGAGACTATTTTAAGTCCTCTTACAATGGTCTTCTCATTTACTTAGCTAAAATGAGAAAGTTAGCCCTGCATTGACCACTTGTTAGCTGATGACAACTTTTACTTTGAATCTGGCTCCCCCTCCCCCACCTGAAATCCCTAGCTCAGCAAATATTTGAACGTGCCCAAGTTAATCATGAAACTGAGATCTTTATCTGAGAGAGACGTGCAAGCTACCAAGGGTGGTGGTTCCTTTTTTTTTTTTTTTTTTAACAGTACTAAAGTCAGGTTCACTTTTTAATGATGAACCAACCAGAGTAAGTGGATACCTTCGGCACAGCACAGAGCTTTAAGCAGTTAAGAAGAGAGAGAAGGCTTGGATTTTCTCACTGCATGTTGCAACTTTTTTAAGGATTTTTATGGAACGTTGGTTGGAAAGCAGAGCAGTCTCTTTTTTGGAATTTTTTTTTTTTTCTTCATTGCTTCAGAGAAGCTTCCTAGGAAAAGGAGGTTTTGGGGTGGTTTTTTAAACAAGATTTTTATAAGAGGAAACCAGTTTTTCAGGTTTTTTGATTGTATTTTCAGGCTGTATTACAAGAGCAAGCATTTGTGATGCATAATTTACAAAGTAAGTGATTTTGAATTTCTGTATGTGTCTTCTTCATCACCTTCATATTTTGCTATAACTGGTTACCATGTAGAGCTTTCAAGGTCTTAAGGTACATGAGTGCAAGTCAAATACCTCAGTACCTCTCCAGGTTATTCAGGGAATGGGGAATCTGCCTATCTGCCTCCTGTCTTTTCTTGCCTGCAGGCTAGGCTAGTCTGAGCTGCGCACTAACCTGATTATACAAGTGTGGGCAGTCCAGAATTTGGCCACCAGTGAAACCCTGGGGAAGTAATTTTTCCTGAAAGCTTTTATTCAGTGGAATAAAAAATCTTACTGATCCCACATGAGACCTAAATGCAGCAATGTAGTTTTTGTAGGAAATCTTTATAACCTAATTTAAATAATTACTTTGGCAACTCAACTGTTTGAGTAGCAGGTGGGCTAAACCTCCAAGTTCAGTGTTTGGACTTGTGTCTGGGATGATTTTAAGTATCCTATTTCATTTTGGAAATGGAAGGAATCTTTGGAGCATGTCTACCTCAACAGGGAGGGGAGAGTCTACTTCAGAATGAATTTAAGCTTGTTAAAGTATAAAGCAAACTAGCATGCATTTTTTTGTAGCTCTTGGTACTTCAAACATGTTCTTGTATGTTAATGCTTGTCCAAAAGGGGTAAGCTGCTGAGGGGCACAGAGAGGGGGTAGATAGGTGTGAAATATTTGAGAAGGATATAAATTGTGTTAATTTTATTTAATGAGCATTTGTGAGATAGAGCACATTTCAGCTGCACCAGGATTTCTTATGATGTAGGCACAGATAGTTGCTACAGCTACTCTTTGTTGTGGTTATTTTTGGTATCTGGTTTTCTACCCCCATAGATTATAGTGAGTATAAAGCATTCACGTTGCTTTACATAGCATTCTGCTCTGGAATTAATAGTCTCTTCTGTGAATGTTTCTTCCAAGAAGTCTGAGAGAGGTACAGTCAGCACAGGGGGGAGTTAAGGAGTATTTCTAAATGGTACGAGGATACCGATGACATAAAGTCAGGTGAGGAAGGAGACACTGACAAGGGGCTCTTGCTTTTAAAAAGAATTAACTTGTAAATATCTCAATGAGAACAAGGTAGAGAAACAGTGTGAAAGGGCAGACTAAATCTTGTTAAATCCTGACAAACTGGCCTTTTATGTTCAGCAAAATCATGTTTCAAGATTTCTCTCAGTTTTTACTTTATTCCATGGTTTAGACAAGTCTGCTGAATGTAAGATTACAATATTTGGGTTTGGGATTTCAAAATGAGTTAATCTAGATCAAATCGAACTGTATTTTAATATGAAATAATAAGGGAGGGAAGGCATCTCTGCAGTAGGCACATTTTATATAACAATATCAAGTGTATCAGACCTATGTGTCCATTAAAGTAATAGAAATCTGCACAGTTTTAAAACAAAATCCCTATTTCATTATGTGGAGATAGATGTGCCTCTGTCTGTATGTAAAATGGATATGTACTGGATACACACACACAGAGTTATACTCTTTTCCCTTCTGCACGTACAGGAGGTCTAGAAGCCTTTTAAAGCTTTTTGAATGGTAAACTTCAGGCATCGAAGCAGGAGGTGCAGTGAGATATGACCGACCTACTTCTGAAGGGAGCTGCTCTGTGTGTGAGCGTGCGTGTGTGCGCGTGTGTGTAAGAGCTACGTGCTGCAGCATATCAGCCTTTTGTCATCCTGCCAGGATTGGACTGTACCATGCTGCAAAGTCAGGAAAACGAGCTGGGAAGGCGGGCGTGGAGAGCCCACTCACTCCTTTTTTTTGTAATACCAGGTTTATATTGCAGTTCTGCTAAATGTAGATTCTTCCTGAAACTGAAATTGTTTTAAGATTAATGTAGAACAAAATGATGAAACAGGAGTGGTCTGGTGACATTATTTTGACATGATTGGCTGAGGATTATGATGTAATAGGTTACAGTGCAGCCCCTTATAGGTTTTAAAATGAATTCCAAGACACCATTACAAAGAGAGCCTGACTCTTTTCTTGTATCTGAGCTTACTCAGTGAAACTCATACAAATGTACAGTACTGTTTGGAATATGGAAGAACTGGATATAGAATATCCTAAGACAGATATAAATTGTGGCACAGACTTGATGTTTTACATAGAAATGGATCCACCAGGTAAAACTGCAGTCTTATTATGGAAGACTTAATTCTTTTGGTCTTTATAATAGCTGCTGAAAAATTATTAGTGGATATGTAGGATTTCTTTACTTTGTCATTGATACAAATAGTTTTTCTTTTTCCTTTTTTCATAAATTAGAATTAAATTGTGGTTTAATGCATGGTTATAGTAATTAGAATCATAACCTGTAGAAATACCTGTCTGCTTACTTAATTTAATTTTTACTGAATTGACCTATTTTGTTTTGATTTTCTTCTGTCAGATGTAGTTCTAGTTCTGCTATTATATCATTAACATTTTGTATTTCTTTTATTATTATTTGTAGTCACACTGTGACTAAAAGGAGATGTTGTAATAACATTTTTATTTCCTGAAACAGTGATTAAAATTCGTTGTTTTGGATTGTTTGAAGAAAAACAGATTTTAAAATCTAGCAATATTAATTGAATACCTGATAATTGCATCATTTTTTCATACTCATTGCAAATTTAAAAACATGATCTTTTGTAGCTGATCATAATATATAGGGCAGGGACATTCATAAAGAATGGTGTACTTAGTGGCGAACTAAAAGAGCTGAGTTGATTTTTAATCCTGATTCCAATGTGGTCCCTCTTGCTCCTATGTCAGGAGTGCTGCAGTATCTTCTCTGGCACCCACTGGTATACGTATGCAGCTTTGACATTGAGAAAAGGGGGATGTGGTTTTTAATCATTCCTGGCATTTGGAACACAATTTATTCTGTAGAATAGTAAGATTAACACCAGGGGCATTTGGGTCACAGATGGGTTTCTTAAAGTGGGTTGGTTTTTTGGTTTGGATTTTTTTTTTTTAGCAAATCATCGCACAGAATGCTGAGGATCACAAAAACCCAGTTCTTCTTAAAATGTACAGTTTGCATCTTCTATTACTCAGCTTCTAGGTGAGGAAGCAGCAACACTGCTCTAAGATCATTACACAGGAGTTAAAAAAAAAAAGAAATTTTACATGTTTTATTATTTGTATTCACTTGAAGATAGTGGAAGAAGGTAAAAGCAAACTTCAGAATTTTTTTTCTCAAATGTTTTATTCACAGGCAGAGGAGATGAGTATGGCGTTATATTTTGCTTAATATGTGTTATTGCAAGAGTAACATACTTTTTTGAAACTGTACATCATTCTTGTTGAATTATATTGTTTTCAGTAAAATACCTTGATTCCTCCAATTTCTTCTAAAGACTTAGTGATGGGAAAACTACTTTGTAACTATGTTTTTTTTTTTCTCATTGGTGGAATAATGTGGAATTTCAAGGAATATATGGTCAGGTTTTCTATGAGTTATACTCAATTTTTTTTCCCCTTTCATCTGCAGCACTGCCTCCTAAGCCACCAAAAGCTAATACTGTAGTTAACAACGGCATGAATAACAACATGTCATTACAAGATGCTGAATGGTACTGGGGAGATATCTCAAGGTAAATCAGCTCAAGACATGTTTTTCTTATGTTTGGCTTTATCTTCTTTCTATGCTATTCTGTGTGTATGTATTATGCTTAAGTATAGAAAAAATGCAGTTCTAAGGGCTGTTTTTAGGATATTTTCCTACACAAGCATATTATGTTTGGTTTTATTCCAAACATGACTAAAAAGTTACTGGCAGTCAGTTAGAATGTAGTATGTGAAATGATTGTTCTGTTACTTAAGGCAGCTCTGTGCAATGCTAGTATGAAAGGACAATACCAAGAAATATGTATTTTCTTCTTGTTTTTTATCTAGAACCTCGTCTGTAGGTACAATAGTTAGCAAGCCAGACCAACAAGTGCCATATATTAACAACATTTTTAACTGTACTATATATAGGTACATTAGGCCAGCACTGGCTGCTCCAATTGTGCAGGCTTGTATGAACAAGCAGAAAGACCTTCGCATTAACATAATTTTGTCCAGCAGTGAGAGGACATAGGACATACCATTTTTATATCACAGTTGTTCTCCAGCAATGTTAAATAAGCTATTAAATAACTGTATTTATTAATATGGAGATCAAGAAGGCTTATAAAAAACACATATTTTAAAACAGAAGAACTTAGAGCACAGCAAGAGGATAAATGAGTAAGTAATAGCTGAAATCATCGGTTACTTTTGCTTTCATTTTAGAGAAGAAGTAAATGAGAAGCTTCGAGACACTGCTGATGGAACGTTTTTGGTACGAGATGCTTCAACTAAAATGCATGGGGACTACACACTTACACTAAGGTAAGACTAGTTATGTTAGGTCTATAATACATGACAGTAAAACGCAATACTGCATTTAAAATATGATGTTCTTTAGGAAATAGTACTTGAAGTATGCCTAACTTTTCAACAAACTTTTTTTTGCAGGAAAGGAGGAAATAACAAATTAATCAAAATATTTCATCGAGATGGGAAATACGGCTTTTCTGACCCATTGACTTTCAACTCTGTGGTCGAGCTAATAAACCACTACCGGAATGAATCTCTAGCCCAGTATAATCCTAAACTGGATGTAAAATTGCTGTATCCAGTATCTAAGTACCAGCAGGTAATTTGGTCTATTTTCTTTGTGTTTCACTTAAATACAGAGAAATTACTGCAGTCTGGGGAGTCATTTATCATTAACTTCAGCTCTATTAATATTTGAAAAAACGAAGTGGGTATAAAAATGGATATATGGTTTTTTTTTTTTAAAACCAACTCCACAGTTTGCATATAAATAATTAAAACTTTAAATACTGCAGATACATTATTAAGAATAAACTTAGGTTAATAAATATCCCACTCAGTAATGATGAAATATATCATTTTCAGTATAAAGCTGAACACTTGCAATGCAAAATTGCTTTTTGTCATTAATTTCTCATTTGCATATTATGCCTGTAGTGTGTTATATATATCCATATTGATAAAAGAGGAGTCACATTTACTATATAACTATCTAGGCTTTTTTAAGCAGTTTTATCCCTGTGAAAATCTGTGCAATGTAATTGTTTTTCCCTGAAAATCTGTGCAATATAATTGTTTCTTCACGGAATATCTTTCCTTCTGCTCATCATTCCAGGATCAAGTTGTAAAAGAGGATAGCATTGAAGCAGTGGGAAAGAAATTACATGAATATAATACCCAGTTCCAAGAAAAAAGCCGAGAATATGACAGACTTTATGAAGACTACACAAGAACATCTCAGGTGAGCTAGATTTGATACCAAAGGGAAGGCAGATTTCTGTTTTAGAAGAACATTATTGTAAATTCATACTACCATCTTCCTCTATCCTCCTCCTCTTCTCTTCTGCCACCACACCATTGCCCAGAGGAGGAAACATATCTGATGTGCTTGCTCGGTATAGTAGAATCGCTTACTCATGTTTGAACAGTCAGCACCTGTAACCTAACCCACCCCGTGCCCAAGCCTGACACCTGCATCCACAGCAAGCACACAACTGTCTTGATTTACTAACACTTCTGCATACTGACCTCATCAAGCTGAGTTACAGTTTTCAAGACACATTTGCAGGGAAGCATTTTATTTTATTTCTAGTTCTTGAAGGCTCTGGTTTCATCTGTGCAGGGTAGAGAGATGACATGTGTAGATACAGTGCAGGAATAAAAAGCTGCGTCTATCCTTCTCTCAACTTAATCAATGATGAGCCAAGTCTTGAAGTGCCAGTGAATTAATGCTGTTTTACAGACCCAGAATCAGAACTGCTGCTTAAAATTTTAGGAAATTCACCTAAAAATAATTGATGAAAGGTGGAGAAGTGCAGGCAACTTGAACCAATGACTTAAAAGACTTACCTATTGACTAGCTATGTAGGGGCAGGAAGCTGGACTAGATGACCTCAAGAACTGTCCAGTCCAATATCTTCCACTTTTATTTCAGAAAGCCAGATGAGCCTCTAAGGACATTAGTTGGTACGAAGGTCAAAGTGCATTGCCGTAAGGCTCTAATCATCATAAATAAAATTTATTTATACAAAACAAAGATTGTACTAGCTCTTTGTCTAGCGGTTTTTCTTTCTTGGAAAACCTCATCATAGAAAGCCTTGTCATGGTAGCCTTTTGCGCAGACCTGTTCTCTCTGTGTTACAAGGCTCTGCAGACAGAATGCGTTCTGGCAAAGGGGTATTGAGGTCTTCTATTATAATATACTGAAATGTTTCTGTGATACAAGCCAATAAATCATCCCTTCTGTCTGATAACAACTGTAATAACAATTATTTTATTTTCAGGAAATTCAAATGAAAAGAACAGCTATTGAAGCATTTAATGAAACAATAAAAATATTTGAAGAGCAGTGCCAGACGCAAGAAAGATACAGTAAGGAATACATTGAAAAATTTAAACGGGAAGGAAATGAAAAAGAGATACAAAGGTCAGTAGTTGTATTTGCATTTAAAGTTGTCATGATTTTGAAGAAAGAAGTGGTGCCAAGTATACATCTGCCTAAAACTAAAACACGATGGCACGTTTCAAATTGTTTATTTGTAAGCAAAGCAAGCCTCAAATGGGATAGATAAGAACTTGCAAAATGTAGAGCTGCATCTAAAGAAATAACGTATTCTCGTAAGTGTCTATACCGCTAAATAGCAAATTATAAAGTTATGAATAAGGCATCATCAGAGTGTAACCTACCACATTATTCCATTCAGAATTATGCACAACTATGAAAAACTGAAGTCTCGAATAAGTGAAATTGTGGACAGCAGACGTAGATTAGAAGAGGATTTAAAGAAGCAAGCAGCTGAATATAGAGAGATAGACAAGCGTATGAACAGCATTAAGCCAGACCTCATACAGCTGAGGAAGACAAGAGATCAGTACTTGATGTGAGTATCATTATGAATTAACAATTTTTTTAAAAAGTTTTGGGGTTTTTTTTAATTAGTATTCAACTTCTGTGACTAACAATTAATTTTATTTGCAATGATTGTTCAGGTGGCTGACTCAAAAAGGTGTTCGGCAAAAGAAGCTAAATGAATGGCTTGGAAATGAAAATACAGAAGAGTGAGTATTAAAAAATTTAAGTATTTCTGGTAATTCAAATCATCTTACACAAAAGTGTGATATATTTAATGCCTGGACCAGACAGGAAATTGCAAGCCTAGGTCTCCACTAACAATGTACACTGTTCATACATGGCAGCCTACATTATGCAAGTATTAGAAAGGACTCTGTCTCACCCGCTGCTCTCCATTACTCAGGAAAGTGCATGATCGAGTTACTATAGCAAAGCATAGTAATGATCTTTAAACTGTGTCTTTATTCTTACCAACAAAATAAAGATCATAAGGTGTTAGTATCTTACAGAGATGCTGGATGGATACGGATGGATAGATTGTTCAGGTCTTTTAGGCATGTGCAGGCTTTTTCCAGATTTCAAGTGTTGGTGGTATGATGCTATCTGGTATAGAAGTACCCACATCAGTGTATTTACATTGCTATCGGAGATGACAGAATCATAGCATCACAGAATGATTTGGGTTGGGAGGAACCTTAAAGATCATCTAATTGTAAACCCCCTGCCATGAGCGGGGACACCTTCCACTAGACCAGGTTGCTCAAAGCCAAAGCCTCATCCAACCTGACCTTGAACACTTCCGGGGAGGGGGCATCTATGACCAAGAAGTCATGGGCACCCTGTTCCAGTGTTTCACCAGCCTCACAGTAAAGAATTTCTTCCTAGTATGGTAAAGTTGTATATGCTGAAGCGTGGTCCTTCTCTGGTTTTGTGGTCTAGTTAATTTTTCTGGGAAATGGCACGATAGTGTTCTGTCATTTCAGCAATTCAATTTACTATAGGTTCTGACAGGGGTTTGTCTAATTAATATGTTTCACCTAATTCCTGGGAAAAAAGCACCTGGATGGTGTGAAGGTAGACCAAATTTAAACAAAAGCAAGCCACAAAATAATATCAAAAGTCTAGTAAGAGTGAAGAATGAACAAACAGAAAAACAAAGTTGTCTGAGTAATATTTGTATCAACATTTTCTGCCTATATAGTTTCCTGTGCGTGCCTTCTACACTGCCTGGTTGAACATATAGCAAAAGCAGCAAACTGATAATGACTGTTTTGTAGATTTACATTTTAGCCTTGTCCACAGCTGTTCTAATTTGGCTTGGTTTATTTAGTTTCCTACTGTTATCCTGGAAATTGTGCATCTCTGCTGTGACTGCACTGGTAGAAGCAGGGGATAAAAATCGTATACATGTTTTACAGTCATGTTGTTCACTTAGTCTTAGCGCAGCTTAAAGATGATATGATGGAGAATATGTAGGCACCTGTTTGCAACAGTACTCCCATCACTTGAACGGTAGACAAAGAACAAAGCCAGGCCATAGTTTTAACATAGCATCAAAATAGTAAGTGAAACTGTTTTTACAGAAAATCTTCCTTTTGTCTTACTCTGTGTCTCTCCTTGCCAGTGAGTCTGGTAAGTGCTCAGATTTCTGCCGAAAAATTAAACTTTTAGAATATGAGTTTAGGAAAAACATTGTAATGCAGAAAAAAAAAAATCAATATAATGATCAGCAGAGAAAACAGGAGTCGCTTTCTCTAGGTGCTGGTTGAAAATAGAGCCACTGCCGAATGCATTTCAGCATCAAGTAGGACAAAGGAGTATGATGGGATAAGGGACCTAGAGAGTGTAAAAAGAACCCTTGTTTCTGAAAAATTGAATTCTTTGAGATCGCTAATTTCTGTACACTAATTTGAGAATCTTCAGACAGGACTGTGGATGCGTGAGAAGTCGTGTTTTCGTAGACCAAGGAAAACTGGTTAAAAACCTATTACAGAGAGAATAAATACATTAGCCATACACAGACTGATTGCAAGCTGAGCAGGAGACTCATGGCTCAGCAGTACAGGCTGCTGGGGGAGTAGGGGGCTCTGGAAATGCAAAGCGGTTTCCACAAAGCTCAACCAGTGACGTCGCCTTTCATGGTGGGCTTAGCTCGGAGAATTCTCTATAACTCTAAAACAGCTTTCTAGTTGGTGGCTCTTTTGGTAGAGAAGGGTCTATATTATGTGCTTTTCTCATAATCAGGTTATAAGGGGAGAGAGAGAGAGCACTCTGCTATTCCACCCTTTCCACAAAACCATCTCCCTGATAAATAATGAATCCATCTACCTGTACAACTGCTCATAGCTTTCTCAAGCTGCAGGTGTAGTTGATACATTGCATGGTTTTTCACTGCTGACCAAGTGTTCTGATGTTTGGAAATGAAGCTGGCTCAAAGTGTATTGATTTCATTGGGCTTGCTATTTACCAAAACAGTGAGCAACGCTAGAAGTACTGAAGTACTCACAGCAGATTCTGGAAGATAACACAGCATCCTTTTATATCTTTCTTCAGATTTAAATGAGTGTTTTTGCAAGAAACAAGAACCAGAAATCATATTTTATTTTTATTCAGTGGTTTAAACGGTGCAGTATTGTGTGGTTTGCATTCCCAGTTTTAACAGGAAAGCACCCCCCCCAAGTAATATGAAATTGGAACTACTTAATTCATGGATTTTGCTCTTCTATATGTTTCACAAGCACATTTTGTCCTATTTCAACAGCCAATACTCTATGGTAGAAGATGATGAGGACTTGCCCCATCATGATGAGAGAACGTGGAATGTGGGAAACATCAATAGAAACCAAGCTGAAAATCTTCTGCGGGGAAAGCGAGATGGAACATTCCTTGTTCGAGAGAGTAGCAAACAAGGCTGCTATGCCTGCTCTGTTGTGTATGTACCCTAATTTGTGAATGATGTAACCAACATTGGAGGCACCTACTTTGAGCCAGAGGCAGATAGGAGCTTGCATATGCATGGATCCCATTGTACCTTTGGGCTTCGACGCAGACCAGCAAGTGCTGAGGCCATCCTTATTGCCATTCCATTTCCTACAGAGCTCAAACCTGTGCCACTCCCACAGATGAGCCTCACACAGAAGAAGGGAAACCAAAGCATGGATGCACTCCTTTTTGTTGAGCTGCTGAGTCCTGCCTATCTCCTACCTCCCTAATCTAACACAACATCTGGGAATTGGGGTTAAACCTAGGCTTTTTACCATTATCCCACCACAGAAGGCAGGAATTCTATGTAGTAACTAGCATGTTAAGATTTATTGCCCATACCTTATTTTCTAGCTTAACTTTACTGTACTGACAAACTAAAAACTGTGCTTTTTTTCCTCTTTAGGGTGGATGGAGAAGTAAAGCACTGTGTGATAAACAAAACACCTACTGGGTATGGATTTGCAGAGCCATATAACTTGTACAACTCGCTCAAAGAACTGGTGCTACATTATCAACACACATCACTTGTGCAGCACAATGACTCTCTCAATGTCACACTAGCCTACCCAGTATATGCACAGCAGAGGCGATGAAGATCTTAATACTCTGGGTTGATTGTTTTTTTCCTAAAGAAAAGATCTGACAACATTGAGGCCTCTGGAGAGAGAAGGCTCCTTTAAGCCTTACTCAAGAATTTGAGCTGCAGTATCAAAGCTATCTGTCTTCAGATGGGACTAGAGCTTTCCTTCACAACTGCAGTGGGAGAGATCACAGTATTAAGCTGTGAACGTATGTTTCTAATCTGAAGTGCTTTTTTTTTTAAGAAAAGAAAAACACAAGAGAGAGAAATCCTAACCTGATCTCCCTGCAGGGACATAGAGGCCTTTAACCATGGTGCTTGTTTACGACCACTTCTGAAGCTTTACCAGCTAGAACATTGGATTCTCCAGACACAAGATGTAAGAGGTCTTTGTCATTCAGTTATTGGAATTTCATGGTCACAACCTGGCTTGGATTTGGTGTTACTGCACTCAGTGGATCCAGACACACAGCATTGTGGATTATTTGGTTTCTAGTGAATGATATGTAGCAGAATGGCACTTTCATTTCTAAGGAACATTTTAAAAGAACTTCAGTTACAGTATGTTGTTCAGAGTACTTGTAAAAGCAAAGTGCCAGGAAGTGTTTTGTTTAGACATTTAAAAATCCTGTTTTAAGAATATATTTAAGACTGAAGAAAACAGGACTTTCAATGGCATACAGTATATAATAATGTACATAGTATTGGATGACTATCATTGATGGAAACTATCAATACCAAACTGCTTCTCTTTTCCCTTTTCTTTTTGCTGAAAGCTGAATTCTTAGACTGTGCTATGCAATACTGAATTTTCTTTAGGCTATAGTCTTCTCTCAAGCATATCTACAGGTTAAACTTGTTTTTCTTTCTTCCCTCCTTGTCTTCTTTTTTCTTTCTTTCTTTTGCCTGAGAATATTTTTCCTGATTATTATTTTTTGTTATTCGTTTTGTTGTTTTGGATTTTTGGGGGTTTTCGGGGATTTTTTTTTTATGTACAGGAAGCCAGCAAGTGTTGGCTTCAGAATTAAAACTATGAAATATTTTACAATTTTCTTTGTATAGAATATTGAGCTACTAGCTCAAAGTTTTAAAAGGTCGTAATTTTTTTTGACTAAATATTTTGTTGGGCAGTGCCTGATAAGCTTCAAAGCTGCTTTATTCAATAAAAAAAATATGAACATTACAAAATATCACTGAGTCCAACAATATTGTTTCAGAGATATCTTTAGAATACGGTACCACACTATGTTTGCTTCTTGAAGCATTCTGAACTTCTATCATGATTGTCTTTGTATCTGGAAGACAGAAAATAGTGTGTCCTTCTCTGATATTGATTGCAGAAAAAAACAGGGAAATTTGGCTACTGTGGTAGGTAGTTTGGATTTCTTAATGAATCCACTCTTCACAGGAAATAAATTACTTCTTGACCTACTGTGGCAGAAATTTTGTCAGCATGTAAAGGTATTTTCACTTCATATGAAGGAAGTTTCTCTAATCTGTTGCCTAGGTTTGTTTTTTGTATTAGTATTGTGAAAAAAAAAAAGCTCCCACCTTTACTGAGAATGTTTGGATACAACATAGAGCTAATTAAGACTGGAAAATGTCTGTTTTGAAAATGATTTGGCTATCATATTTAACATTTCAGATTTATTTTTGTAAGTTTGTAGGCTGATGCAGTATGAAAGTGAACACTTCTATAATTTCAGATATCAGAGATTTAAAAGAACTATGGTTTAGTTAAAAGAAACAAATACAATAATCCCACTAAAGCAAACTTATTAGGAATTCTGGGACAATTCACTGTGGATAGTTTGCAGTGGTTACTTACTGTTCTGACCACTAAGGAAATTCACACGTTGCAAATTGCTAACTTAATGAAGTTCAGAGAAATCCTGGAAAAGTTTTTACTAAGTAAACATGTATTTATTCTTCCCTCAAGATGCAAAGGAAGGATCCATTACTATTAAAGGGAGTTGCACACACAATCAAAAGAGTAAGACCCATGGAGTTCTGTCATAATAGCTGTGTTTTAGAAATACATATGTTTTAATTCAAAGTATGCAGTGTTTATTAAGCTACTGGAAATAATAATAATACATTTGCCAGTCTCCAGTAGTTTTTATATTATCTTTTAATTTTTACATTATTCCTTCATTTCTGAGGCTGTAAGGCTCTTGATTTTATTTTTATTTTGTGCTCTTTTTTGGTGGGTTGTCTTTGCTTTCCTACAGATACATTTTCTTACTGGAATTTATATCAGGAAACAAGATTCAACCAACATTAATGTTTTTGGATAGTCACCACTTACAAAATTATTCTGAATGTTTTTTCTGAATAGAAGTTTAGTCTTCATTCCTTCCCTTCCTCATTCCACACTCTTTTCAGGCCTGTAGGACCATGTAAATTTGGTTTACTAATAACTTTTTCACTATGAAAAGCACCAACAATTACTCTAGCATGCCAGTTATACTGCTGAACTTGAGGTTACAAATTAATTCAGTATACAACAATTTAACATTTGTAGCAATCAAAGATACTATTTGGACATATATTAAATTTTGAATGTTAAGTATTTTAAGAGTAAAATTGTTGGGTTTTTTCTCTATAAGCAAAATATATGTAACCCAAATTGATATGTCACATAGCATTTGTCAAGAAATTTTATCATAGTTAAGGCATTTGGATCTAATTTTCCTCATATTAAGAAAACCTCTGTTATGTCAGTGGGCCATATCCTTAGCATGCCCAGCTCAGCATGGGATACCATTTATTCGTGTAGTGCTGTAGAACTTCTCCTCATCTATGGTTGGAGCAGAGGAAAAAAAAAAAAATGTGTGTGCAAATTTGGCACTTGCTTTTCTTGCACATGCAACAATGAGAAATAAGCACTATGTTGTAAGGATGAGTGCTTAGGGCTTCCCAAGGGGGGAAGTTCTGCTTACACAGGGTCTGCCCAATTTGCTAGGATCACTTAATGCCCTTAAATTGGGATGAGTGGGTTTTCTTTGGTACTTAAATATTGAGTGGCCTCTGCATTTCCCTCCTTCCTTAATGCACAGAGCTATGTCCTGCCAAAGGCCCTATTCACTGCAGAGTTGTTTGTCCTTAATGTACCATATTGTTCACTCCAATTTTGATTTGATCTCAAACAGACTAACATATACAGAAAAAAAAGCACATGGATATAACTGAAGAAACACGATGCTTTTTTGTATTTCTATTGACCTGTAGTTTTTCCATCTAATATGATTCAAAGGTGGGATTTGTTTTGTTATGGTTTTTTTGTTTGGGGATTTTTTTGTTATTTGAAATCCCTGAGTTATGCTGCACTGCAGCAGCACTTTCACAAGACCTTTGAAAGGTATGAGATATAACACAGAGAACCAGAACCCACAAGCCAAATCAGGAGTTTCTGGTTTTCTTAAGTTGAAATTTGAATTTGGAGGTTTGGGGATGTTTATATGTGCATGTGCGTGCACACTTGCTATGTTTATATATTAATAGATCCCAGTATATGTGCATTTTCACCAAGCATTATCATTTTGCTGATTTCAGTAAGTGATATCATTAAGTTTGTTTAAAGACACACACACATGCACAGTAGACCTTTGTGGGTGCGGCATGTTTCCAAATACAGTTAGAAAACTGAATTTGTGTTAGATATTTTCTTTCAGGGAAAAAAAAAAAAAAGCTTGTCTGTATGGTTCAGTTATCTAAAAAATCTTGTCAAACAATCTGTAAAACCAAATTTTCAAATTTTCTGTTTGGTGTCAACTGTTCTGTAGTGAAGAAATGGCTTTGTCTTGTAATTGGCAATGAAATAATAATGCTTGGGAAAACATTCGGATGCTTCTAATGGGGAAACTTATGCCGATTTTCACACAGTGCTTTTGCTATGCATGGTATTAAGTTGGGAAAGTGAATCCTGATGATATTTTTTTTCAGGGTCACTTTAGAAATGGGCAGCTTAAAGCACAATGCCTCCCATGGGACAAGGTTCCAAAATACAACATTTTATGTAGAACCACTGCAGTTAAAGACTAAACCGGACTGTGGGAATTGGTAACATTACATTGCACTTGTCCTAATGAGACTGCATTAGCTGCCCAAGATGCTGCTATTTTTTTTATTCTTGTTTTTAAAGATAAAGCTCTGTTCTGTTAAATGTCTTTAAAACATTGATTACTTTGTTTTGAAATGGTCTTTGAGGAGGTGGAGGGTAAAGTGGTTTGTAAATTGCCTTTACAAGGCAACAATGAATATTTGCCTCCTTGAAGTTTTGTTTAAGCTATAGAGTTGATGGAGCTGTGTCTTGTTTTTAAGTTGCTTTAAAAATTGTAATAAGTCTTCAAGCAGAATAAAGGTTGTTTTGAAACTGCATTTCAGTTGTTGAGGCTTCAATTAGGACTGAGATGTCTACTTACCAGCATCCTTGGATGACTTTTCCTGTCTGTATGTGGCCCACTTTATTAGAGACCCAAAATTAGAGGGAACTAGGGAGCAAATAATTTCAGCTGACTCACAGCCATCCTATGTATTGAACTGAATGGAGTAGTTAAGTACCTCCAAAATAGTCTCGTGTCAGATCTCTGGTGAATGTTACCTATTGCAGTTTTTCTTAGTAAGCTGATTCTTTTAAACAGACACCAAGTTTATCTCATGCCTACTCCCTGAACCGATGTTGAGCAATACAAACTCTTCTGCAGCCGTATAGAGCTCACCGTCTGAAAATAAGGTCAGGTCGGTCATGAATCACACGTTGTCAATCAACTATTGAGAGAAATTATGACTGGCTGAGCATAAGCTGCAGAAATCTACGGACTGGCAGATTTCTTTCCTGTACCATACATTGTATAGAAATCACTCTTGGCAGACTGGAAAAACAGTTTACAAAAATGTATTCTATTTTTGCTATCTGCAGACAAACACGCCCTCACTTTCCCTCTGTGCTTTCTTGCTAAGCCTTGATGGTCATTTTTCGTACGGATTATGAAAAATTGCTTAAATCTATCTTTGTGCAGCTACAAGTGGGTGTGATATTAAAGGTTTGGGAATGCTCATCATGGGGCCTTTTTTTTCTCCCAAGCTGCCAAAAAAGGAAGAGGAGATTTAAAAACTTCTCACTGTTGCCTTCTCCAGGCTTCACTGAAGGCGTAGGTGCCATCTCCTCCCCTCAGATCTCGGCCTCCAGCACATCACCCCACACCCTGCATCCAGGCTCCCCTTGCCGCCCAGGGCCGT